GGACGAATGTGAACCCTGCCACTGGGGCATTCGGTGGAGCTCTCAAGCCACGAAGCGAGTGAGTCCACGAAGCGTGTGAGGGGTGTGCCGAAATGAGCGTGGGGACGCATGTGAACCCTGCCATAGGGGCCTTCGGAAGAGCTTCCGGTGAGGCCACGAAGCCTGTGGGCATTGTGCCGAAATGGGCCTGGGGACGCATGTGAACCCTGCCACTGTGGCCTTCGGCGGAGCTCTCTATGAGGCTACGAAGCGTGTGAGGACTATGCCGAACCGGGCCTGGAGACGCATGTGAACCGTGCCACTAGAGCTCCCATTGGAGCCACCTATGAGGCGAGGACGAGAATGCAGGCATGCGGAAACAGAATGAAGGATGATGACGATAATGGTGATGGTGACGGCGATGATGGCGATGGTGATGGTGATGATGCTGGAGATGATGATGATGATGATGATGATGATGATGATGATGATGATGATGATGATGATGATGATGATGATGGTCATAATGATGATGATAATGATGCTGATGATGTGGATGATGATGATGATGATGATGATGATGATGATGATGATGGTGGTGATGATGATGATGATGATGATGCTGATGATGATGATGATGATAATGACGATGATGATGATGGTGATGATGCTGCTGATGATGGTGGTGGTGATGATGCTGATGATGATGATCCGTTGTTTTCCAAACCATCCTGTGGTGTTGGGCCCGTGTTTTGAATATTCAAAGCCCCGCGTTCACTCTTCCCCCTACTCCCATTCTTGCCTCTGCCCCCATCATGCCCGCATCGTCACCACCAACCGGCATCATCACCATCGCCATCATCATCACAATCATCATCACCACAATCATCACCTTCATTGTTATTAACATCATCTTCAGCAGCATCTTCATGATCATCACCATTATCCTAATCAGCATCGTCGTCATCGTCGTCGGCATCATCACCATCACCATCATCATCGTCATCATCATCAACAAAAACAAGTCAGCATCAGCAACATCATCATCACCATCCTCATCATCACCACCATCAGCAGCATCAGCATCAGCAGCATCGTCACCATCACCAGCATCAGCATCAGCATCATCATCAGCATCAGCATTGCCATCACCATTACCATCACCATCACCATCACCATCTGCATCATCTGCATCATCAACAGCAGCACCATCAGCATCATCATCAACAACACCATCATCATTTGCATCATCGCCAGCTACTGGGACCACGCGAGCAGCGGGCCCCAGTTTCCATGAGAAACCATTGAGGGCCACAGCTCATATCCGCGAGCTGGCCCCGTCAGACCATCGAAACCAGCGGCGGACCCGAGCCCACGAGGCGCTGGCAGGGGCACAGCGCCAGCGCTGACCGGCCGACCCGACGAGGCCGGCAGCCCCAGTGCTGGAGAACTACGTCATCGTTGCGAAGCGCGTGGCTGGAAGGGCCCAGCGAGCTGCCATCCACGAGTCGATCAACAAGTTCACGTAATTTGTGGCGCAGTCAAAGGCCGTGGGCATGCTCCACAGCTCGCTGAAGCAGGACCCGATGGCCGCGCTGGAGCTGGAGGCGTGGGACCACGCCCTCGCCCGCCCCGCGGACATCATGGAACGCGAGGCGGTGAACTGCCCCTCGGGCCCCCGACCTCGGAGAAGCACGCGAGGTATTAAGTGCGATTCGAGAGGAGGCCCGGCTCGATGCTCTCCCAGATCTTTCGCCGGAGCTAGTCTGCGCCAGCGCCGCGGCCACGAAGGCCAAAAGCGGGCCCGGGGGTCGTTGCCCTGAGCCCGGTCGACTACCAGAGGCCATTCCCGAGGCGATTTCGGAGTTCGCGAATATTTTGAAGGGCGCAGAGTCGCCGCTGGTCTGGCCGGCGCAAGCCCAGCTCATCGCGACGTTCTTCACCCCCATGAAGTCGCGGGGAGATCGTGGCATAGGCATGATATCCATGATGGGCCGCTTGCAGTTGCACATTCGGGAACCCACGTCGAAGCAATGGAGCAAAGAGCAAGAACAGGCATGGGGCGCTGCAGTTGCTGGGAACAGTTGTCTTAGAGAGGCGCATCTCCATGCGATTGATGAATAATGCGCGTTGGATGGGAACGCATGTTGGCCAGCGTTCACCTGATGCGCAAGATTTTGACGATTCAAGTCCATGGGCGGCCACGGCCAAGGCCGCTCTGACGCTCCATCTCGCACACATAATGTTGCATATTGAATTGCTTCAGTGCGTAGCCACTCGCGCACTCCCCTAGAAGGGAGCAGTCAACAACCTGTTTGAGCCCTGCCAGTCGGTCATCCAAGGGCTGCGAGGAGAAATTAGGTTTGCGAAGATTCCCACCCACTTTGTCCTGGGCGCGGCGACCACGGCGGCGCCGCTCATGACTCACAGAGTGTGGATCGATGATGCGTGCCAGAGAATCACAGGATCATGCAGCGCGGTGCGAGCAAACCTCATTCATGGAGTCGTGAAGACGAAGGTGCTCCCCCAGGTTGCTCCGTCGCCACGCGCACTACGCTCGCTCGCGCGGTCGACAGGGCCGCCAGGGCCGCCAAGCTCAAGGGCTACCGAGTCAAGGCGCTGCTTCAGGCACCATACTTGGCGGTGTACTTCGGCTGCGGCAGAGCGACGCGGACTGAACGTCCGATCAAGCATGGCACGATGAATGCAATGTCCGGAGGTTCAGCCGCGCCACCCGACGGCATGGCATCACGATTCGCTCCGAGCGAAACGGATGCCAATCCGCGGGGTCATACGGAGTACAGATACATGGTATGTCTGGCCAACAGCTGGTTGAATGTCGCACGGGGACGCGCAGCAGGAACGAAGGGGCGCTGTCTTACAACGCCCCTTGACCTACAGACCCGAGGCGCCGACCCTGCCGTTGCGGGCCCAGCGAAGCGCATCGCCGAGTGGCTCAGCATCCGGCAGCAGCGGCCTGACATCAGCAGGAGCGCCCGCCAGGTTTGGCCCAGGGTGTGCGACCACACGCGCGGCCTCGAGCCCCGGCAGCAGGTTCGCGCGATTCGGGCACCTGTGTCGGCGACAATCCTCACCTCGTTGCGCATGGGCAGGGACCGTGAGGCAGCACATACATGGTCACGCGCAGCCCAGCGGGGTACCGCAGAGGAATGGCGCCTTCCAGATGCGATCTCTGGGAATACGTTTCTGGACACACGCCGCGATTTCCCTCGGGGCGTTCGACGGTCAGCGGGGTCGACTGTCTGGAGCATGGCAGCGCAGCACTACTGTGGAGGAGGAGCCGAAAGCGGAATGGACGAGCCCCCCTCCAGGCCTCTCTTGAAGCAGGTCTGCCAGTTGCCGCGCGGCGTGCGATTATCAGAGTTGTGGGTCAATGTTTCTACGGGCGGCTTCTGGATACGTTGCGCCGTCAGGACGAGATGACCAAGTACGCAGGCAGCAATTTGTGTGACAGAGCCGATCCCACCCAGAGACGGCGATGCACGCGTTTTGGATGTGGGACAGGAATACGGGGGGTCCCCCCTGCACCAAGTCGGCCAGCCTGGTGCCAGAAGCGTCAGCGCAAGCTGAGTCTGCTGAATGCATTTGGGCGCGGGGGCCGATGCCGCGCGGTTGGACGGAGGTGCCCGAGCCTCCGACGGAGGCGGTCCTGGAGTTCACGGGCATCAGCGAGCTGCCCCTGGGAGTGTTCGGAGCAGGCGCGGCCGATTAACAAGCCGAGATCTTCGGCAATGCGAGCGTTGGCGCGGACGCAGGCATCGGAAAGTTCATGCGCATCGGTGTGGCCATAGTCTGCGTGGCCAGTCTCACGCCAGAGATCCAGCTCCATCGCGCAGTGTCTAGACCTCTTGGAGGCCCCAGGCAAGTGGTGGCCAGGGGCGAGCTGTGCTCCTTGACCCTTGCCATTCGGAGCACAACACGTTTCCTCGCATATGTCACGGGCTGCGAATATGTTGCAGCCGGGTGGTATAAGCAGGCCTACCGTAACCCCGCAGGAGATGACGCTGATGTGTGAAAGCTGAGAGGTGGTGTGCCACTTGATCGTTCATACTCAGAGATCGCTGTTCTGTGGACACATGCGCATTGCACGGCAGACGAGATTGCTGCGAAGAGGGCGCGTAGGCATCTTGTCATAGGCAACCGGTTGGCCGACGAGTTCGCGTGTTTCGCTGCAACTAAAGCGAATATTCCAGCCAACATCCGCCAAGAAATGTTGATGACTGGAAGGAAAGCGTACCTCATCCGTCTGAGGCTCCTGCGAGCCACCCTTACAGGTATCCAGGCCAGTCAGGAAACCGATAAATCAAACGAGGATGCTCCTCGTGGCCCCTGGGTCTCCTGTGAGGCCCTTCCCTCTTTGTTTTATTTCCTGTGGTTGCTGATGTGTTCTCCTTTATGTCCAGGCACCGTCTCGCCGAATGCGGAAGGAGGCGCCTTAAGTGTTTCGGCCCCGCCTCCCTCGCCACCGCACGTGAATTTGTGGAGTCTGAGTGTCCGATTTTGAATATTCATGATGGGGTGATACTTTCGCCGACCAAGGGGGCGCGAATCCATATCGCGGGGGGTCGGGTCCATTCCAGGCACACCCTGGATGTTCACCTGAGCCTTCAGATTTGGTTTTGCACTGAGTGTGGGGCCATCGCGGACAAGGTTCTACGATCGCTCAGGGTGCCATGCAGTCAGAGGAAATCCGCCACAGCCCGTGAGAATCTTGACAGGATTGCCAGGGGGGTGAATCCCAAGGTCCTGAGCCGTGCCGAACAGTCGGCGCGGTGTTCGCATACTCGTATGCCCAGGCCTTCCTAAACCCCTAGCCTGCATCGCAGCGGTGCCCACCCCACTCCAGCTAATTAATTTTCCTTCTCCCCCCGTCCTGCCCCTTTTCCTCCTCCTCCTCCCCCACCTCTACCGTCCCCCCTCGTCCTCTCGCCCCTCCCCCACACCACACCACACCGCACCACACCACCGCCGCCGCGCGCACAAAGAGCGCCCCCGACGAGGCGACATGGAGCAGCGCGACAGGGACAACGCCCTGTGGGTGGCCTCGGGGGAAGGGGGGGGGAGAAGGGCCGGCCGGCCCGCACGGCATCGCCGCCGACGGGCCTCCTCCTCCGCCGCCTCCTCCTCCGCCTCCGCCTCCTCCTCCAGGAGGAGGAGGAGGAGGACTAGGAGGAGGAGGAGGAGGAGGAGGAGGAGGAGGAGGAGGAGGAGGAGAGGAGGAGGAGGAGGAGAAGGAGGAGGGCCGGGGAGGATGAGAGGAGAAGGAGGAGGGCCGGGGAGGAGGAGAGGAGGAGGAGGAGGAGGAGGAGGAGGAGGGGGAGGAGGAATGCCGTCGGAAGTGGCTGTTTGGGCCGCGCGGGATCTCCCCATGGTGCCGTGGCCCCGTCTCATCCTTATCCCCCTCTTCGCCTTCCCAGCCCATGCGGGCTTGGATGTTAGTGCTGGTCGCCTGGGTTTGCCAGGGGTTTTAGCGCAACACCGGTTGCCGCCCTCACTCGCCCGGGCGCTCTCCTGTTCCTCCGCCCCCTTCCCTTCTTGACCCTGTTCGTGCAAAGCAGGGATTCCGATGCACTGCTTCTGTGGCGTTCGGGCCGACACTGGTGGCAACCTTCAGGCGATTTCATGCAGGAGAAGATTCGTCTGCTCCTCTTCCTCCTCCCCGCCAACCGTTGCGGCGCCCACGCTGGCGATGCCGCCCGTCGTGCCCACCGTGCTCGCCAGCGCCCGCCGCCTGGGAGGGTGTCGAGACGGCGGCACCCATCCTCCGTCGTTATGTTTTTCTTCTTCCTCCTCCGCCTCGCTCTGCCTTGTTTCGGGAGGATGCCGATGAGGATTGCAGCACCTGCCTCCGCGTCCGACGTCGCCTACCTACCTCCCTTCCCCCCTTGAGGCAGGGCCGGGAGACGCTTGCCGGGTCAAGGGGTGGCTAGCCGAGGGGCGAGAGGAGATTTGCCTTCTCTTTTTCCGTTCCTCCTGCTCTGGTCATGATCCTTTGGTGGACCTGCGAGGCCCTCGGGATGCGAAGGTTGGCCCGGTGGTCTGAGAGGAGTCGTTCGTTCTGGCCCGTTGGTCCGAATGGCCGATTCGTTTCGTATAACAAGCGCGGGGGCGAGGGATAAAGCATGCGTGTGATTCAGGACAGAGAGGAGTCGCATTCGTGATATCGGGATGCGTAGGCACGGGAGACTGCGAGTGCTGCGGGCGCCGAGGCGAGAGCGTCCTCCCAAGCAGCCGGTGACGGAAAGCACGTGCAGCAACAGCAAAGCACGTACAACAACAACCACATGAACGGTATATTTCGACGTTGCGATTGCACAGCCAAAGTTGATCGAGGGAGAGGGCGCATCATGAGGTCTCATAGCGAAGAATTGCAGCACAGGCGAGTGGCAGACGTCGAGACGAGAACGACATTTCGATCGATTGAACACGCTCCGACCAGAAAACATCACTCTCGGAAGAATGACTACTGGAATGCTGGACAGCAGAAATCACATACGCGGGAGTGGCTGGCGGGGTACTGACCAGAAAGCGGCAAGTAGAAAGAGGAGATCATAACCCGCAGCAACCACTGGTAGAAGCATGTGCGTGGGCGAGAAGCGGGGGAATGGCGAAGGGGGGGCGGAGGAAAAGGGCGAGACAGGCGGTGCAGCGTGCACCCTGCCGAGGAGCGCAGCGCTCGCGCTGTCGCACCGCGGCGTGCCTCTGCCGCCGCCCCTGTGCCGCGACTTCGACGCCAGTTGGCGGGGAGATCGGCCGGTTCGCGCCGTTTCGATGCGGCGGCGACCCCAGCGCAGGTGCTCAAGGTGGAGCGCTGCCGGTGTCCCAGAGCCGACCGACATCGGACGACTGGCGCTATTCGGGGGCTCCCAAGCGGGGTGGTGACCACACCGTGTGGTGAGTCGGTGGGGATTCGGGGTCACCGCACGGCTTTGGGACTTGGGTCGTTCTCCGAGGATGTCTCGGGCGACTGGAGCCTCCAGGGTCCCAAAACCGTGTGGTGACGGACCGTGCGGTGAGGTCTTTGTGGATTTCGAGGTCACCGCCGGGTCTGTCACCACACGGTTTTGGGACACCCAAGCTATGGGAACGCCGCGATCCCTCCTGGTGGAAGGATCCGCGCGGTGTCAGAACCGAACGCCGAGGCCATCGCGACACGAGTCTGCCGCATGTCGGCGGCGCGCTGGGGGGGGAAGTGAGAGAGGGAGCTGGCCTTCTCACCAGGCGGCGAGGCCTCCGCAGAAGCCCTGCGACCTTCTGTCGTCAAGTTTGCTGTGTCTTCGGAAAGGCTTCATAGAATTTCTCAGATGGCCGGGGAACTTCCGAGCCTTCCGAGAAGGCCCACCCCTTCTCACCTCCCCCAGGCTCGTCGTCGAATTTGTTCCGAGACGTTCCCTGAAATCCGACGTTTCGGCAAAATTGCACCTGCGACCTTCTGGTTATGCGGGGCGGGAACATTACCACTGCCACTGCTTCTTGCTTGCGCCGCCCTCCAGCTGGCCG